AACTAAGGTTAGAAGTAAAGGCAACTTAAAAACGTCTTCTGTGCAGTTTAACAAAGTTATGTCATAAATTATATTAAAAAAAGGGGAAAAACTAAGTTCGTTTTCTCGATTTTTTTTATTTTAGAAAAATTGAATAAAACTGGAATTAACATGTGTAACATTTTCCCAGGAGCCCTTAGGTGCTACCAATACTAGGGGAAAAAAGTGAATCTACATACTACATATTTTTACATGTTTTACGATCTACATTTTAAATGTTTCCGTACTGGGTTTGTATGTGCACCATGTACACAGCCTGCAGTTCATTCCAGTTCAGTTTAAAAGTCCCTGAATGTTTGTCACATGACTGTTGCTCACAGCTGAATCACGAACATCGTCACAGATGCACAGAGGAGCACAGAATTATCTGTTTTTTAAAGAATCTGGTTAGAAAAAAAAATATTTATTTAGACATACAGAATAAAGAGATTTTGATGAAGCATCTCTTTACTCTTAAGCGTATGTTTGGTCAGTTTTCTGGCAACGCTGCACTCTACAGATGAGTAGTTCAAGGACTGTCAGAAGCTTAAAAATCCAGTGATTCTCTCTGTTTTTACAGTCTCTGGCTCTTATAAATCATTTAACGTTGGCAGTTTAATAACACCATGCCTTTCAAACCTCCTGCTGGGTTTTGGGGCTCAGAGGCTGAAGTTAAAACACTTCCTTGACTCACCTGCTGTATGATGTCCTGAGCAGTGCTGTAGCGAGGGGCCTTGATCACAGTGTGAGGCTGTTCAGGCGAAACTTCATGGACCTGGACAAAGAACATGTCGTCTTCTCCTCCTCCTCCTCCCCCGCATCCTCCTGCTCCTTCTCTGCATCCCACAGTCACGTCCTCCTCTCCCTCCGCCACTGCGTTCTTGTCATTTAAGTTCTGCGATAATAAAAACCACAAATTAACACGAAAAATTATGCATCTGAGGGAAAAAATGTGACTTAGATGAGAAAACCACAAGGGGGAGCCAGACTCTACATAATGAGCTTTACCAAAAAAAACAGCTTTTTGTGGTAGTGATGCCACACTTCACGTTAATAAGAAAATCAACTCTGAGATCAGTTTAGATGTTTGCTGGTGAACAAATCTGGAAGGTGTTGGCTTTGTGTTCACCTCCTCTCTTGTTTTGAGGCAGATTCTCCCCACGTATCCGTCCTCGGTGCTCCAGCTGCAGACCAGCCTGACGACCTCCTCCTCAGGTGCTAGACAGCGAAATTGAACACAGCGCTTCACCTCGCTGCGCTCCTTCAACAGAGGAACCTTCTCTTCACACAAGAAGTACTCCGACGGGTTTCCTGCTGATGCCAGAACCTGTGCGGAGGCGAGGTGAGGTACAAATTTAAGGTATGTAATGACACATGACAAATGCAAATCTTTTAACACATAGAAATAAATGTGCATGTGGGACTTTCTTCTGTTTGAGCTGCGTTATTCAAACCTCATAAATCTTTGTCTAAAACACCTACCATGTCCAGCAGCTGTTTGGCAGTGGTCTGCTCCGTAACACTGAAAACTGTGAAGGGTTCAGGACCGGGAGCTCCGTGTACTGTCACCCTGTGCTGCTGGGACACATGTTTCTCCTCCGAAATGAACAGCTGTAGGGAGCAGGAGAGGTGCACAGCAGCAGGTTATTATGAAACATATTGACGTGACATTTCTGCTTTATCAGGCAGTCTTTCTTGTGTTCTCCTCTGAGAGCCTGATAAAGCAGAGCCAAAGCGAACTGGATTCAAAGTTATGCTGTTGCTGATGGTGCCAGCAGGATTTCTTTTGAACATTCTTGGACTGCAGTCTACCACGTTTTAAAATATTAATAAGTGTGTGTCATTGAGAAGGTTTTGAAGTTTTAAAAGTGCAGTTAACCGATCAAACCTAATCTGAACTCTTGCTATCTCAGCACCGAGCCTGACTGAGGCTTACCATGGATGAGGGTGTAGCGCCCCCTGTGGGACCTTCCTCTGTTCTGCGGCTGTAGATAAATAAGCTGGACACTTCGAGTGGCTCATTGTGCTGCGTCCTCAGCTGGACGTGTCTGTAACCTGAAACAAAAAAGTGATTTTTAATATAAACGACCTATTAGGAGCTACTGTTATTGTCTTTAAAGTGTAAGATTTCCATTTTTGTTGTAACTTAAGACAGGTCGAGTTTTGTGTTTGATTACTGATGTACAAAAGTCCCATATAGAGGTAAGATCAGACTTTTTGTCAGTTGTACATAAGTCTGACTCATCAGATGTAGACTATGGGTATAAGCCTGGCGAGGTGCTGCACAATTCATGCAGCATTCTCCTTCACTATCTGCGTGCTATTATTTTTAAAATCCTTTCTGATATGAGAGCCAACAACAACCTTCAACCATCAGTGACGGGACCATGAATGTTAGATTTAACATATCTATGTACTGGATAAGAACAAAAACAACTCAAACTCGCACTACTTGATATTAATCCGCTGTCTTATATGTCCAATATATTGTCAACTGGACCTAATTTGTTCCATCTTTTCACTCTGCCAGCAACATGCTCTGTTAGCAACGACTTGACCAGTGCATCAGTTCATTTCAATTCTCACAAGCTTCTGCCATCAGTTTAAAAAATGTGGCAAGTGCTACACACAGCCAGCAAATCATCTGTGGTTTGAAAGAGTTTGTCAAAAAAAGTATAGGCAGGTTTTACCTCTAGAGCTTTTACAGTTTATGTGGTGATTTTGAGGAGAATGAACCATTTTAATGACAGTTCTTGCATCCCCACAAGCAAATGATTCTTGACAACCACAACATTGTTTCGCAGAGATACTCTCGCTGCAGCTTGAACCAGCAATGCCAAAGATGACTGACTGGTCTGAAGAAACACAAACAAGACTGAGCATTTCTTTCCTATAGTTTAACAATAATGGGAGCAGCCACACCAAACAGTACTAAGCTAGCACTGTGGGTCTAGCTAGGAAACTCCTGGTACACTTTCTGAGATCCCTACCTGATTTGAGGGCTTTCAGCGGCAGAGTCCTCTGAGCTGTGGTCTGGGAGCTGTTGTTCTCCACCACGGCGACTCGCAGGAAACACATCTCTTCAAAGTGCACAGTGAACTGAAAGTGCTCGCTCCACATGGGGTTGAGGGTGTTGCGGTGGATGGGTTTGGTACGGAAGTGACAGCTGTCGATGGGCATGCCGAGAACATCCACCTCGATGCAGGGGCTGCCGGCGCTGTTAGCGGGACAAACATTCTGACCAGAAACAATCTGAGGAGAAATAAATGAATGAGCACCAATAATCACACTATGTATGAACAGGACTTGCAGTCGGTCTAAATTAAGCTTATCTTTAGTTTGTTAAATGAAAGTAGGGCTGACTTCCAGACAGAGTTCCCTTGGAATCTCTCAAACACGCAGAAACAGACAGGTTTGATATGTTTAAGATCATGTGAAATTATTCTTTTGTCTGTAATGTAGTTAGTGAGTTCTGCCACATCAGACCGACAAACAGTTTCTTCTAATACAGTTACATTTATGTTTAAGAGAGGCTATATCATCTCTCTTAAGACTATTGCCATCCCACTACACATGCACTCAGTGTCAGACCCTCAGCTCGGACCTAATATATGCACTCAAGACGAGTGTGTGTGTGTTTGAAGCTTCAGTCATAATGCAGTCATTGCAGATGCAGAGTTTCAGCAGCAAATGTCTAGCGCATGTAAAAAAAAAAAAAAAAAAAAGAAGCATTTACAATAGAACTACTACAGTATCATATTTTCACTATATGATTATTGTAGCCAAAAGAAATCACAGTAACCAAATGACATCTACAGAAAATTTGAAAGGTCAGTGAAATGTATCTTTAACTTTGTTTACTGTGTGTTTTGTCTCTTTTTACTGTTAAAACATAAGTATAGGGAGGTGGTCTGTATGATAACTGTACTATTATGTTGTAGCGTCAACCTAACATGATATCAGTGTTTTAGTTCTTAAATATCACTGTTATTATAAATCATTTTATTGGGACAACCTTAATTTACATTTTTTTAATTAAAAAAAAAATTGCATTTCCTAAAGGCTTCACTAGATAATGATTAGATATAGAAGACAAAAACTGTCTGTAAACAACTCTAAGTATCTAAGTGTGATGTTTCCAGATTCTTTATCTTGAAGTTGAAACTGACAGCATGACAGATACAAGCAGCGAAATGTACAAATAGGCAGGAAACAGTGAAGATGAAGATGCAGAGAGAAAGCGTGAAGCAGTCATTCTGACTGATCCGTGCATCATCCTAACTCACCGTGAGGGAATAGACAGCAGGGCTCATTTTCTCCACGTCCCTCTCCATCGGACAGAACTGCTGATAAAGCGGACAGCTACGATCCCACAGCACTGCTGGCTTCAGGACGTAGCCGCAGCCACCATTGGCCTCAAACAAGGCTGTGTTCAGCTGCATGGGAAGGTCTGGGAGGAAGAGAAAGAGGTACACAAAAGTGAAAACCTCAACTCACACCAATGCTCCTGGTGAGCTTTACTAAAGGAGGTGTTTAAGACAATCATCCTGTTAGCTACAGTGATTTTTTTTCTTATTTTGCAATTAGCTCAAACAGATAAAAAGAGTGTCATGTAAACAAGTGAGTGCATGGACATTTCTTCTTGCACACAACTGGGTGAATATTAATTCCAAAGGGAGAAAAATGACTTGAGAAGCAGAGGAAGATGGAGAGTGAGAGTGGGAGTGAGACAGAGATGAAGAGAGAATAAGAGAGTTGTTTAAATGTGATATGCCTTTTAGAGAAAATAACTTCATCTGTCAGAGTCCAGGCAGCAAACACTGACAACAGAGAATTTCTGGGAATGGAAAGGTAGAGAGGAAAGTGAGAAAACATGAAAACCAGAGGGAGACGAAGACAGAGAGAGAGAAGAGAGAGTAAGAGAAAGACAGGGGAAGAGAGAGTGAAGCAGAATCAAGAAGACATTTAGAGAAAATGAGAGCTAAAACAAGCAATGGAATAGCCTATAACCACAAATGTCTTCAAAAGAGCATGATTAAAGATTATTTTATGTGTCGACTTTGACAAATAGAGCGTAAACAGTCTCATCATAAAGAGTAATCTCACCAAATTTAATTTCTCTGTGAAAAATTAGCGGCAGTGTTTATTGGGTCATCTAGAATTAAAGCCTTTTAGTCAATATTAAGGCTTTGCTCAGTTATAAAAAGCTAAGATTATCATGTCGAAGCTGCCTTGGAGTAGAATGCATTGGCTCCTCTTAGGGACTAAGTGATATTTAAAAAAGACAAAAAGAGAAAAACAGGGTAAAGCTCATGAGTGCCAAATTCCTAAGAAGTGCTGTCAAGGTTAGAAGTAATGTTCCCTCGCATGCTAGAAAAGAGAAGCATCTCTGTACGCCGTCCGTACCATCAGTTTGATAATTTAGCGCCACCAGCTGGATCCCATGCAGCCAGAACAGCAGAGGGTTGGGGTTAGTCGAGTCGATCCTGGTGGCTGCCGGGTACGTCCTCAGCAGCTGGCACACCGTGTGCTGGATCAGCTTCTGAGAGTAGCGGCGGCACAGGCGTTTGGCAGCATTCTCGTTGACTGAGGAGATGTGGTAGCACTTGGGCGTGCGGATGATGGCGCTGAGTGAGGTGGGGGGGTTGAGGACGGGAGACGTTTGCTGCTCCTCCCAGCTCAGCCGCTCAGAGCCACCTTGAGAGAGGACAGACAGAGACTTTTACAGGCGCTGAAAACTTATTTTGTCAATCAGCTTCTTTCTTGGAGTGATGTGCTCCCACATGCAGGCCAAAGTCAGAACAGCTCAGAGTACCGAACAGGGTTTAGCAGCAACAGACGACAGATTGTGAATTTTAAACTCAAATAAAATATTTCTACACAACATACGGCAACAGTCGTATCTTCATTCATACAAGCAAATTCATGACAAACACTACTAAAACAGTGACTCCCTTTTAGTGTCCTGATTACCTAGACTCAGTTAAATGAAAAGATTCATCCACTGACTCATTAGGTCTGACTGCGTCTGACCACTCACTGAACTGAAACACAGCCGACTCATGATCCCAGACTTTGGTAGCTATGAAGCACAAACATGTTAAATTCTGTTTAGTAAGTATCATAAATAAATCTGGTTTTTAATTACTTTAAAATAGATTTAACTGGTCGACAGTTCAGCATCACTCTTGAGCCTGATCTGTCAGTTTGAGCTGCTGACTCAGGACTCACGATGCAGTACGGTCAGTGAACCGAGCATGCACCGTTCCCTCGTAATGAGACAGTATTGTAGACATATTGCAGGATCCCCGTGAATGAATCAATGACTTGAATCGCTCACTGTGAGTATATCCCAGCACACTCACTCCTAAATGACTGAGACCTCAACTGAACAGAGGAATGAATGAAGGTGATTCAGTTCAGTTCATTCTTCAACACTAACACTATAACAAGAAATTAGCCCAATTTATGACCTGTAAGCCTTGTTTAATGATTTCCATATGTGCACACACACACACTACCTCTGCCAGGAGTGCGGCTCTGGGTCGTGACCTCTCCTGTTGAGCTGCAGCGAGAAGGAGCTGTGCCAAATATGGACTTCCTGCTCTTTCCTCGATCCTTCCCTCGACCAGAGCCGGCTGGAGACAGCGTGGACAGGCCTGGGTTCAAACACATCATCAAGCAGACAAGAGGAGAAGAGTCAATAAAGCAAAACAGACAGTCACATCAGCGTCTCTCTCTCTCGCCCCCCTAATAATCTAAATTCTTTCTCAAAATTCACACGCCGTTTTCTGTCATTGCATTCGCGTTCTGTCACGAAGAGCAAGTTTCCGCTCTGTCTCTCAGGCGTCACTCCAAGTGCAGTCGTCTCCAACAAGAAGTTGATTCAATTTTTATTAACTGCACTAGTTCTGTGTGAAAAACAAGCCTCTTTTTATTCAATGTTGTCTGTATTTTTTCTCGCATAGCTTTTTTGTTTTGCAAAGCAAGTCATTAGATTGTGAGATTTGAGGGACCACATGAGAAATGTAGCATAGAAGAGATGTTTTTCTGGAAAGGTCCTGCTTGTTTAGGGAAATAAAACTGTTTAAATGTTGAGAATCTTGCTCTCTTTTGGTAAGCAATTCTCCTGCCTCCTTTCCTAAAACATATTTGAGATACAAAACGTATATTTCTTTCGGATAATTTAATTGTTTGTACACAAGTTTTTCCAAGTAGCACGTCCATCTGAAATCACTCCAGAAAAACACTCGACAGCAACGAGCCTGCTGGCGGTCTGAACTGGGCTACTTGCCCCGCTCCCTCTTTCTGAGCTCTCAGGTCCCTGGAAAATGTAAACAAATAAAATACCAGTGGAAACACGGGCGGGTTTATAAGGGCAGATGTCCTTTAAAGAATAGAGGAGACAAACAGAGAAGAGGACACTTGAGGGAGGCAAGAGGTGATAAGAGGATTGATATTTAGGGACTGACAGAAATATTTGAGATAAGTGGCAGCGAGGAATGAAGACACATTCCAATAAAGAGGAAATAAGAGATGTTTTATAAGTGTACACAAAGAACATTTAGAACTTCTGAATCAACGACACTTTCAAGTATTTAAAGTTAAACCCACAGTCTGATTTCAACCATTTTCGTTTTGCACGTATAGCAGTTAAATGTGGGTGAAAGTAGAGGGTGACATGTGAGAAAGGTCTTTGGTTCAATGTAAACTAAACCAGGCCACCAGGTCATCCCCAAAACATTTTCTTACTGTTCAGTAACTTTACTGTTGTTGTGTTGTTCAGGGAACACCAACACAATTAAGTAACTATATCTTTCCCATGGGGAGAAGATTATTCATCATCTTAGTGGGTGTCCTGTGTGGGATAGAAATGGAGTGTAACACAGGGGTATTAAATGTCTTGCAGCAAAAAAAAAAATTTAAAAACATGGGGAAAGGTCTGACCTCTTAAATATAACATGGGAGTGGATTAGAGCGAGACAAGATAGAAAAAAGAGAAATCAAACTGACAGCTTCTCAGAAGTAAAAGAAGAGAGGGAGGAAGAAAGTTATTAATGGAGAATAAATCAGTTTTTACTGGGAAAAGGAGGAGGAGAGTACAAAAAAGGAGGCCTGTACAGGAAAACAGAGAAATGTCTATTCAAATGAAAAGTACAGGGAAAGCAAAAGCTGTTTGACAGACAGATAAAATATTCCCTACCAGGGAACTTCACAGCCTGGCAGTAGATGACAAGGTCAGACAGCTCCTGGGCAATCTGTCGGCTCTCTTTCTTGTTCTGAGGAAGGTAAAACTCCTCGCCAAGCTCCATGTCAAACACCTACAGGTGTAGAAAGACACAGGACACGGAAAACTCTGTTAACATTTTACTTGCAGAGATAGTGATGTCCTGGTGAAGCAGAGACTGGAATTCATGGACAACCAGACAGAAGAAGGTGGGATCAAACTTCTTCATGCATTCATGTTCAATGTGATGCTCCATCATTATCAACGAATGTATTCTTAACATGTATTTTCTTTTTTTTATGTTGACTTCAAAAGCTTTCTTTGATGAAACATGCCAGAAAAGTTCTTCCATTTTTTTTTTCAAATTGTTTTCTTTTGTCATATTTTCTTTTGTTTTTTTTGGGGATTAGGTCAGTTTAACATGCTGAATCCCAAAACCTGCTGGTGGGTTTAAAAGGCATGTTATCTTTGAAAAAAGGGGACAAAATCACACCATTTATTAGAGGCAGAAACAGTAAAAAAAGAACAGACGAAATGAAAAGAATCATCAGATTTTCAACCATCAGGTGGTTTTTAACTAATCATGTGTGGTGTGTCTCTGTCAGTGTTTTATCAAAATCAAGTTATTTTTCAGTTCTCACGTTTCCATTTTCCAAAAATACATTGTTTGTAATATCCACATTCTGTAAAAATGAAAACAAAACTAAAAAGTCTGCACTTTTGTCTGCTACCATGAAGTCATGAGTGACTCAGCTTCAACCAACAGTCACGCAACACAAATTCAGGGATTTTTTGGCTGAACTGGATCAAAGTGCAGAATGTGTTCCCACAGAGCACACAAGCCATAAAACTAATTTTAAATAAAATATCTATAGTTTGTAGAGTCACCATTTTTTCAGTACGAGGCACGTGGAAAAATGTTTGTGGAGTCTCCATGTTCTCTCCGTGCAGCGTGGGTTCTCTCCGGGTTCTCCGGCTTCCTCCCACACAGTCCAGAAACATGTTGAGGTTAATTGGTGATTCTAAATTGTCCGTAGGTGTGAATGTGAGTGTGCTTGGTTGTCTGTCTCTAAATGTAGCCCTGTGATAGACTGGTGGCCTGTCCAGGGTGTCCCCTGCCTTCACCCTGAGTCAGCTGGGATAGACTCCAGCCCCCCGTGACCCTCGTGAGGATGAAGCGGTGTATAGATAATGGATGGATGGATGTTGATCCCAGTTGTAAAACAAAGAAATTCAACTTTTGTTTTTCTTTTTTTCTTTTTTTTGTGATTTAGATCATAACAGAAGACATTTTTGAGTTGTCTCTGCCTATAGCTATAGCTGTTCTGTTTCCGTTGAGGTGCAGGACTTTCTATTGTTTTGAAAACTGCTTGTGGTTCAGAGAGTTACCACTTTGGGTCCTTACCTTTCCTTTGCTCTGAACAGTGCTGTCAGCCTTCTTCATCCTCTTGGGTAATTCATCAACAGGTTGCTCCTCTTTGTCTGCTGAGCTCTTCCCCTCTGGCTTGTCGTCCAGGATGTTATCTATGTGGACAAAACAGGATATTACTGAAACAAAATTTGATGCCTGAGTTTCAAACCAAACAAACTGTGTTAGCTAAACAAGAAGAGGACGAGGACTGCGCTGTGATCATGTGGGTACATGACACATTTTCAGCAACTGTTACTTTGACAAATCAACAAACAGCTGAAGATGCTGCAAAAACGAATGAAAGATGGGCTGATGTTGAACCATATGCACAATCAAACAGAAATGAATGAATGTGTTCTCTGTGACAAAAAGTGAAATCCAAGAGGAACTGACTGCATGTTAACATGGTTAGCATAAGAGATAACTGTGAGTCAGGTTAATATCCACGCATGTTTAAGCCCTTCTTTCTCTTTAACAACAAAACCTGTACTAATTCAAGCTAAATGGACGTCATTATGCATGAAGCTATATTAAAATCAAAGTATCCTAGATGTCTTTCCTGCACAGCATCCCCAGTTCATAATCTTTATGCATCACAGCATATATAGCAACACAGGATCCAGCATATTTAAAGAAGAAACTGAACTGTCAAGGATCCATACATAAGAATTATGCATAGGAGTTTGGGTCCCAGATGCTGTTGATTTACGGCACGTTAAATTACCAGTAAGGCATATATCAGAAGGAATGCATTTAGCATCTGGGAATCCACTTCTTGTGAAAACAAACTGACTTCGTATTTCAAGTGAGTTGTTCTTGTTACTTTAATAAAGTCAGAGCATTGGACTAGAGTCATCTACACTCCTGCAGTAGTTTAATATGGTTGCTGTCACTTGGTTTAAAGTTCATGATTAACACTTTTCCTTTTTGTTTTTTATGTTGTGACCAGAACGACTGATCTAATAACTTACATGAGCCAGTTGATAAAAAGGATGAATGAGATCACAAGCATATTTACTGTTTTTCATTATGGATTTCCACAGAAAGAATAATTCTTTAACTCTACAGTTGTGCAACATTGCATTCAGAAATGTGTTTCAGAGGACTTTTATTTTGGAACTCTTGCTCTTCTATATGGCATACATTATAAATGGAAGGAAGTCTTTGTGCAGGTGGGAACAATTAGAGAATCATTTGGAAAGAAAAACTACGAGCAGTTATCCAGTAAATCCCTGACTACTTGCAGAGCTCATGAGCGTGTTCCCAAACAAAGAGACGCAACGGCAGCTTCTTACTAATATTCAAAGCAATGTCTCTCAACTGTAAACAGGAGCAACAGTAGGGAGTTCTTCCCTCTGCTCCCATTCCTCCTACACATTAACCGCAGCCAAAACCACAAAAAGAGGCGCATCGGCTTGAAAATGCAGAAGCTTTTTATCACAGAAAACTCGTCTTGATTCTTGACATTTGGAGTCTCGCTCGTTAAAAATGGTTTAGCAACGGAGCTGACCCCTGAATGTCACACTGCAGACAGCAGTCAGGGAAGTGAGTTGGAACAGACTGGAGGGAGCTACCACTCAACCGGAGATGGTGGCAACTTGGCAGCTTCGTGCTCGAGTGTTTGTATTTGCGGGGCCAGCTGACGTTGAGTACTAACCGTGCATAGTAAAACGGAGACAGTCAGGGTGGAGTGTGTTTTACTTAGTCTGGATGTCTTGTTTGCCAACTGTTAATATTAGCTGGTTAATATTTCACAGCTACAGGTTTCGCACGAGGCACAAGTAGCGAAAGTGAACCAGGCTGCGAGGTTTGGATTAGAGATGTTTTTAGGAAAGGTCCGTGACCGGTAAGTTCTTCCGACAGGGATTAGGAGAGAGCAGTGGTGGGACTGGGTCTGGGACAGGGTAGTTTCCCCTGGTCTGTTGTTTAGCACGGGGGCAGCGTAGGGCCTGAGAAACCAGATGGCTTTGTTTTGTTTCCCTGATGAGCCTGCCCAGCCACTGGCGAGGTCACAGACAAATACAGTATGGCGGGAAAGGAGGAAGGGAGGTGATGTGTTTGTGGGAGAACGAAAAATCATGCTGACAGCAAATTGTTGTGGCTGAACGTACACGGGTTTTCTACACACGCATCGAAACTTAAAGTCATTCATAATCACACGGACAATCAGTATACAGGCAGACAGTATGTTCTCTTCCTGTCCTGATTACGCACTGCATTCATACTGCAGAGCTCACATTTGTAAAAAAATAAATAAATTCTGCTGGAAGTTGGTTTCATAGTCAGGTAGCTGCTGTGTCTTGTACAAAACCATAACACAAGCTCACATCACAGTTAAAAACGACATGAGATTGCTCCAAACGTAGTTCATAGTGAAGGAATTTGATTTAAATTAGATGTAATTTTGGATGACGACTACACACGCTGCATATTATCATTATTTCCATTGACGCAAGGCAAAAGAAGAACATATTAGCAATAAAACAAGTGTGCATCTTAACTAAAACTTCCTTGTTAGCCATCTAGCAGTAAAAAACATGTACACAACAGCATATTTTTGAGCTTAAATAAACACTGTGAATTAGAGCAAAGCAGAACATAAGTAGAACCATAACTTATGCGGGACTGTTAAAACACACAGTTGTCTTTATTTTATTAGCTACAGTGGTGGGTGAGGGGGAATCTCTTGCAACAGGAGTCATAAGTTCAAGCTGTCAGCGTTAGCAGCACATTAATAATTCCTCATTCCGTCGTCGAGCAACTTCCAGAAAATGTTTTACTATCACACGCTAGATTAGATGGAATATTTGTTTTACTGGGCTCCAGATATTATGCAATATTGATTTTTTATTTTTTTTTTTTTTTACTGCTGGTTATAATGTAAGATAGATACAGTGCAGGGGGAACAGAACCTCCCATAAAAGCAGAAAGTCAACAGCTATAACAGTAGGCAGAAGAATATAGGCATCATTGTGTTGCAGAAGCGCACTTCTTTATGCCAATGTTCCCTTTGTGTTTATTCTGCATCGGTAGACGAGCACGGCAATGAAACCTGCGTCAAGGAACCGTACAATTCCCTTTAAGCCTAACTGCAGGGTCGATATCTGCGTGTGTCAAGGGATTTTAAGACAACAATGAGGATTCTATTAAGAAGTGAATCGGTGAAAGAACAGCAGGTACCACTACACAACAGAGACAGATGTAAATAATGGTACTCAGAGAAGGCTTCGTCAGAGCTGTGAATTTACCTTCAAGGCCATACGAGGCAGTAGAGGCTGCGAGGCCATCAGCTAAGAGGAAAACAAGTCAGATAAAAACAGGAAAGGAAAGGAGTGAGAATAGAGTGTCAACGTAAGGAAAAAAAAAAAAGAGAGACTCAAGTGTTAAAAAAGAAGAGAGGCAGAAAAAAGTCCTAAACAGAAAACTGAATCAAAGGTGACAAAATAGGAATTTACATTTACGCTAGGTTGTATTAAAACATTCATTGTGGGTCTCGTGTTAGTGTTTCAAATCACAAACTCCATCGTGGTTCTCCTCACCGTCCGATAGAGACTCATAGTCATAGTCATACTCGTCTTCTTCTTCTTCCTCTTCCTCGTTGGCGTGGTTGTTGGGTGAAGTGACCCCCGGTGACCCGTTGCTCGCCTGGGCCTGCATGTGAGCCAGCTGGTGAGCCTGAAAAAGGGTTAAAAAAAAAAGATGAGACCTGTATCTGAAGTATGATCTATCCATTATTTGAACTCCGTAAGCTCTTATCTACAAAGACTCTATAGTTTATGAACTGAAGCCTATTATTTTCACATCTATTATTAATTTATAACAGCACTCTAGTGATCCGCAGTGCTAAATATTCAGTGCACTAAAGCTACCTGGAGGGCCCTTCAGACGATACCTTAGATTAAATATAAATTATGCACATGTTAATACTCGTGCGCGAGTTCAGGATGTGTTTCTTCTTCACCTTCTGTTTGAGTATGTCCACCGGCGCCTGATGGGCTTTGAGCTTCTTGTTCTTAAGCAGGATCCTCCCACGCAGCTGCAGCGGTGACGGCAGGTGAGGGTCGTCGCTGAAGTCGCTCTCAAAAAGGAATCGTGTCACAAGACGTTCCCCACACACCGTCTGACGAAGAAATATTTGAACAGGACAGATGACTTCAATAGAATCCAGTACAAGTGGCGAGTGAAAGGAGGGGAGGGAGGAGAAAAAAAAAGAAGAAGGCTGCAGGAGAATCCTCAGCTTGAGAAAATGAGTGCTTTTATCAATGCAAAACAACCTTACAAATAAACAAGACCACGGTGATGTAAGCTGGCCAGAGGCACAAAGCTGTCTGAACATAAAAGACTTCTCTTTATCAAGCTACTCAGAAGTCCCGTCTCCAGGGAGGATGAAATGCTGGGAAGTTTCGTTAGATGAAAGCATGATGATATTTCCTGATGTAGCCGTCGTGCCCAGATATGTGTGGCCTTGAGTATACAGTGTAACTTAAAAAAAAAAAAGAAGAAGAAGAAAGGGACAGTTGTAGCCTGGAGATTAGAAAAGCAAGCTTCTGGCTGGGAAAGCTGCCAGGCTGAATGCCCAGAGCAGCTGAAAAAATGTGGTCAGGGAAAACAAACGAGTGGAGTTTTTTGTCTTGCTAAAAAAGTTCTGCTGCAAGCGTCACTGCAGAGAATATCTCCACCTGTTAAACAGCTACGGGTCAATCAATGAAAAATCTATCAGTGCCTCCCATCGAACCCTCTCAGAATCAACTCATTTTTTATGTACGATAACTTTTGTATATTTAATGAATCCATGCAAAATTGTACCTTCCTACTATGAATATTTTCAACATTACAGGCCCTCAAAGTACATATTAGTAGGAATGGGTCGAAATTTTGCACTTCTTGATTTGTGTTATTTTTTAAAACATTTTTGAGCCCTCATAGCTTCATATGCACATGAGATAGACACATGAAACAGTCTAGGATGAAAAGCATTTTCAAGCTATGTTTTTTTTTTTTTAATGCAGCCAAATCCATTTTACATTGACTCCAGGTGTCATAATCTAAAACCAAGATCTAATTTTTGTTTAGCGCAACTTTTTCTGTAACTTTGAGAGTCAAAATCATGAGGTATATCCTGGTTTCAACAGCAAAATTTAAGTTATTCTACATAGTCGTGTCTGTACAAGAAACCAGACTGCTGAAGGTGTACATACTTAATAAAAGGCAGTGCTTTACACAGGAGTTGAACTAAACCCTGACCGTTTAGTTCTTTTAGTTTTAGTTTTGATTTTTCTCTGCCATAAAGCAGTGTTGATCTGGGATTTTAAGACACCTTTTGTTCTTTTTTTCCCTGTTAATATGGTGGTTTTATACGCTGGATAACATAAGATTTGCAAAATAAGTAATCAACAGCGAGGCTGAGCATTTCCACTTTGACACTGTGACAGTCTCAAAAACACAGATTCAGACTTGTGGGGTTTCACATGTAACAAACTAAAGGAACCACTCATGTGAACTTGCAGGAGAGGACTTTCTGTATCATTGTTCTTCTTCAGAATCGCTTTCAGGTTCGACATTGTACGGTTGAGTTACTACAGTACAACAACTTGTCTTTGTGTACTGTGGAGTAGTTTTACAGTGTTTGAGCAGAATCATGGGTGAGCTGGTGTGCTTGAGCTGAAACGAGTGGGGAGGAGCGCATGTTTACAGGGACACAGACTCTGCACATTCAAAGAAAAGCAACAGAGTAAAGTTACAACAATACTGTTTCAAGGTAGGAGGGGCTAAAATGTATAATTTGACAAAATAGAAGTTTCAGCTTTAATCTTCTGAGTTATTAATCACTGATCAGTAAATGCACACAGAACAAAATATGGAGACTGTAAATACTAATAATCTTTGTGCAAAGTCAACATTTTTGAGATATCAGAGTTGCTGTTATACCTTGAATATTTCGGCCATCTTGCGCTGCTGTGGGAGGGAGCAGTGGTTCTCTATGGACAGGATGACGGGCATGTCAGAATTGACGAATGCAGCCCGGTTAATTGCCTCCACCACATCCTGAAAGTCCACGAGAGGGGAAAAAATTATCAGAAACAGAGCAACAAATCCAATATAGGAAGTCAGTGACAGCAAATACAAATGTAGATTTTCAAAAACAGCCCTGAGTCACAGCTTTGTATTAAATGCAGGTGTTGATCTAAAAATCCAATTACATATTAATATTATGATGCTGAGGGACAGCCGGCTGGTGAACTTAACAGAAATTCCACACACATCAGCTGTGTTTGAAGATGCTTCCGCCAAGTCCATAAACTGAAGCATGGGAGCGGAAAGCGATGAGAGCGAGTGACTGACTGTTGTTTTTATGACAATGGACATCTCCTTTATGAATTAAATTATTCATGTGCATTTCTAACCTTGAAGGGTATCTTAGTGGTGAGAGTGTGTCCGTGGTAAATAACTGGCATGCCGTCATCTCCATCCCAACAGTCTAACTCGACACTTCTGCAGCCCTGCAGCAACACCTGAACATTCACAAGAGTGTCAACTTTACAGAAGGAGGCGTTAAGGATAAAACATCACAGTGTACAGAGAAAAGAAAACTGCAAATATTTGTGTGAACATACCTGACTATAAAGCTCAACGGAGGACTCTCCTTTAAGCTGGTGTCCAGTCAGATAGGTGTTGTGAGAAGACTCGATGTAGTAGTAGGACAGAGGGTACTGCAGCTCCTCTGGATTCATCTGGGATTCCTCATTGCGAGAAGCAAAGTTCTCCTTGTCCATCAGGAACCTGGTACAGACAGAAACATGGTTTAAGCAACGATACATGACGACTGATTACAATTAGCAAACAATTGCTATGTTGCACTATTGAAACGTGTCATGCAGAAACAAAAAGCTGCTAAATATTGTTGATCCAGTATGCCAAATAGTTTTCTGTACGTGTTAATTTGAATCTTTTGCTTTACCTTGCAAAACCTTCAAATGACATCCAACCCATTTGTCTCATAGTTAATGAGGGCTCAAATTTCTGCAAGAGAAAACAATTCATATTATTGATCAACAGTCTCTTTTCTTTGTTTCATTTGTATTCTATTAATACAAATTAACTGACATTTATATCAGGCATTTTCTCATCTTTCTCCCCATCCTTGACTAAATATATGTCTCTCCTATCCATCCATCCATCCATCCCCTTGAGTGTCATCCTTGCATTCATCCATCCCATCATGCCTCCAGGCTCCAGACTTCACCTGTATAATGCTGAGAATCTCGTCATAGCTTAGGTGCTCTCTCTGACAGTTGACTAAAAAGTCATTGAGCTGAGGAATAGCCAATCCCAAGACACCCAGCGATGCGTTCTCCACCCCTGTCCCGTTGGTCACAATGCTGGCCGCCGCGATGGCATCTGAGATCTGCTTCTGGTTGTCGGACATCTGCTGCCTCGTCCGGATAAACAGGCCGAGATCTGAACCGTTACGGGTTAGTAAGTCTGCAAAGGAGAAGAACGGATTAACAGTAACAGAGAAAAGGTCTTTACCGCCATGTTTTTTTCCACTGCTGTAACCATTTGCTCTTTTACCGAGGTCTGGCTGGAGCCCTGTGTCTTTGTCGTCTATCCTGAGGTTGGTGTAAAGAGGAGATGATTCTGGACTGGAACGACTGCAGGGGACAGCGAAGGTGTCGAACAGCTCCTTCAGGTCCTTCCTGCTACGAATACTGTTGAGAAAACCAAACACAGAAGTGAGTCCAATGTTAAGATTGACTGTGTTTTTTTTTTCTTATTGCTATTGGAGTCTGTATGCAGATAAAGTTACCAGGATACAAACATTTTGACTGAGACCATCAGACAGAAGCTGTATAGTTCTGCTTAGGTCCACTTTTGCTGACAGAGCACTTAAACAAGGGCTGCACAGTTTGAAATATATTTAATTATTTTGTGAGCAAAATTAGGCACAGGTCAGTCATCTGTAATTTGCATCTTTCTTTCTTTCTTTATTCGGATGGGACAGTGCATATTAATGAACGTACAATCACAAGGTTGCAGTAAATACACTGGATTCAGCACAAGGCTAATTTCCATCCTTTGTCCCATCTTGTATGAATTCTTTTCACTGTTATTGCAAAACTTCAAAAAGTTGTGCAAGAATTGATTCATAATTAAGATGTTAATAAGTGTTCATGGTAATGTGACACATTTCAGCTACTAACTTTTTGAAATAAAGGAGGATTCTGGATACACTGATTTATGGAAATAGTACATTTGTTCTCTTGATGGCTGTAGCTGTGCAAGAGCATCATTTCAAAGGAAACTGCTGGGCAGCAGATGAGAGGACACACCACAATCTAAGACATGTAGGAGGACTGGTATGAGGATAATCCTTTGTGTCCATTCACTTGACATGGAAAAATTGAATACAAGCTAAATATTATACAGACAAGAATGCTTGGAAAACGTCCAAGGCATGATAACCTCAAGAGGCATTTGTTGAATTTGTTTTATCACACTGTCTTTAGCTGCTATGGATAAGACCGCCGCAGTTACATAACGAGAGGGAGTGAGACGACAAAAATGCTGAACAAAAAATGTACAATCCGCAGATGTCAGTGCTTCAGGCCACAACTGATTTTTAAATGATTTCATAAAACTAGAAAAATGTGTTTGATCCAGTTTGGCGAGACAGAACAGAATAATTCAAATGTTTAATACTTTGAATTAAGCCAGCAAAATATGTCAAAAAGGGCCGATCTCATCTAATAATTTACCTGAATGACTTGAAAAGCTCGACAAATTCAATGAAGCTCATTGTGCTGTCAGAAATCATGAGATTCTGGAAGCCTTTGAAGCAGCCTTTACCTCGGCCGTGCCACGACCTGCTGCTCCAAGCCCTGCGACGCACAAAGAAATGGAAAATATATTAACTGGAATGAATGAAAAGACAGCTTTAGATGTTGATGAGGTCAAACCTGAACACCTCCAGTGCTTTTTTTTTTTCCCACATACCCTGGCTGTGACTTGGCAGTTCCTGAAAGGATTGGAGAAGACTGTGGACGGGACTGATTGGATCCTGCCATGCTGGAGGAAGAGGAGGAGGAAGAAGAAGAGGCCAGCAAACCAGAGCTCTTGTTGGATGAGAGGGAGAATGGTCCAGGAAAACTGTCTTCTACGGAGGCAAAGAGGACTAAGAGTAAATAAACAGCACAGACAGAATACACAACATCACAGGAAATACGATACTGATGCCCTGTGAAAATTGTTTAATTAGTTATTGTGTAGTCTCTTGGGGTATTAAAAAATTACACCTTCACCAGACAGTCCAAACAAATTGACCTGGCTGGGTAACCATTACATTAGTTTAATATTCTAGCCACATCCTCACTTGGCATACATCTACATATTTTTGATGCTATTATTATTTAAAAGGCTGCATAAAAGGTCACCTGGATCTTCTTGGTCGATGCTGTCAGACTCTGGCCCGTTCCGATACAGTCCTTCCTTACAGCTCCGAGTTTTCCTGGAAACCATCTCGTCATCAGTGGCATCCCCGCTGTCTCCCTGTGAGTGAGAATGAGTAACCGTTCAGTATGAGAAACTACATCTGTGAGCAGAACCGCAAAACAGACCAGAGGCTTGCTATTTGTGGACTGGAATTAATCCTTTAACACATTTAAATGGTAGAAAAAACAGTATAGCACAGTGAAATTTGTAAAGGCCCTCAGCCACTTTATCGCTAAAGAAAACAACACAACAGACCGGACTAAGGCACCTTTACTGTCAAAGGCATTACAGACTCAGATGCAGAACTTGTTTCTTTACTGACCCTGACAAGAACCTTCTTCTTCTTCTTGGACTTGTCGTTGATGCCAAGGGGGCTGTTTTTCTGGGTGCCAGGTTTCTCCACACCACCTGTACCCATGTTCCACCTCCGCCCACCAAAAAGCTCAATGGCCTGAGCTAACGTAGGGCCTTCGTACCTGCCATCCTCCTACAAGAGATGAACACACAGACAGAGAATTAGATGGACAGACATCATCTAATCTAAATCTAATCTAAAGACTAACATTTATCCTTACATTTAGGTTAAACATACAACATCATCCTTTCTTCTATCAGGTTTTCATACTATTTTTATGTTCTGAATATATTTTTAATGATCTTAATGGTGTTCTTCAAAACCACATAGTCCTCACTTTTCCTCAGCAACACCAGCAGATAAAAATACTCAAGATAAGGGACCATTGATTTTAAAATGATTTAAGAGCTCACTTGAGCTTTCAGATTTAAAGAACGATGAAGAAGCTTTTATTGTGATGATCAACGCATAGTTATGCAGCTTTAGATCATTTATAATGCTGAAAATACTCCTATAGTGCTTGGATGCACTTGATCAATTTTTACTTTATACATTATTAATTCATACATTGATTGAAAAGTGCGTACAAGCAAAGCGCTGTTTACCTGATACAAACTGACATACTGCTTCCTCAGCCACTGCAGCCTTTGGTCGGGAAACTTCTTCAGTTTCCTGGTGGCGTTCACCAACTCTGACAGGCCCTTGTGGAGCATTTGTGCTGTGTGATTGGGGGCCACAAAGTGCAGGAGCCTAATGGCATTAGAAGAACATTTAAAATGTTTAGTAAACAGCAAGGTGTTTAAGCAACGTACCAGCACTGCAATGCACGAGTGAATTTCAAGGTACTTGCCTGTTGTCAGTGGTACTGACACCATAGAGGAGGCTCAGGCCATTCTCCTCCACTGTCATCTGGCACAGCTTGTTTTGCAAACATACAGCATGGACATCGACTCCCTGATGACCCAGAAACACCGCCTGCACAACCAAAACAACACAATGTTTTGAGTACATTTCAAGCCATGACTGCCAGCATTTATTCAAATGCAAAACAGGTTACTGATCCTGATGAAAATCAAATCTCTACACTGTATTCAAGGGCTTAAAATTGAATTTAAAAATCCAAACAACATCACTGTTTTCAACAAACCTTCACCACTCCTAGGTCCAGCAGGCCTTCTGCAAGTCCTGCTACCACTGTCTGTCCTAATCCTAGTGGTTGCTCTGTAGGGGACGCTCCTCCGCTTTGAGGTTTACCTGCCATAAATCAGCACATTTATATGTTTGAAATTTAATAAAGGCAGAGGAAATTGAGAAACTCATGCACGAATGCACACATTTACAACCAGTTTAAACAGCATGTATTATGAAAGACACGTGGCTTGCTCACTGTAGGTAAACACATGTACAGTGCTGTATGTTTAAAACATAATAATGACACAGGATATCTCATTTTTCATATCACGGATGTCTGTTTCATATTTGTTTAAAGGGTAATAACGTGAGAGGAAATGAGGCTTGTCTGCTTGACAGATAAACATATTCATCACGTTTTGCACCGAAGACAAAAAGAAAATGTTCCCAGCAATTCTTTCAGGTTCATCTTAATATATCTCACACGCAAAACAATTGTACACTGAATCAACAGTGAAAATTCTATACATCATGAATATCAAACAGACTGAACCCCAAACAATAACGTTCTTTGTAAAATGAAATAGTTAGATAAGCCAAGTTGTTGAAACTGATGTACCCCAGGTGAGTGTAGTGTTATCGGGCTGCAGTCGCAGCAGACAGCGGGCTGTAAGGTGGCTGTCCTGGTCGTAATGAATGACTGTAGCTCCCTGCAGCAAAAACTGGTGAACGTCTGGTTGTAGTGACAACACATACCTGGAAAAAGAGAACACAAGGATTGTAGCGAGTCTGTTGAGGTGCAGCAGTCGTGCATGTTTGCGTGTTTTTCCTACCAAGGAATGAGCTCTGTGCCGTGGCCAAAAGCTCTGTGTGTCTCCTCGGTCCCCTGAAACTCCACCTCCTTCACGATTGGCTCGAGTGACAAGTCACCCTCTGAATCTGACAAGTCCCCAACCATGAATCTGAAGATGGAGAGAAGGTGGGTTAGAAGAGCAGGTATGGGAAGAAAGTTTAAAAAAACACAATGTAGTGTCTGGATTTCATGATGACGTAAAACTTTTGTTTGCTGATTTCCATAGAAATCTGCAAACTTTCTATGTTACATTTCAGCTACAGCACAAAGCGTTGTAAGTTTTTTATTTTCAAAACGCACTGATGTCCAAGCAAACCTTATCTAAACGAAGACAAGCTGTCCTGTAGGGCATCAGTGGACCAAGCAAAAAATAAAAAAATAAAGCGCCATGCATTTGTCATTGCTCATTCCCTCAAGACTAAACAAAGTTTTACTCAAGCTGCAGCTAAACCACATTGATGTTAGCAAACTCCTGTAACTCTCATTGTATAACCACTTACAAAACACGGTTTGTGTCTGGCGTTGTCCTAAATGAATGGGAACTAGAATGGGAGAAGAAAACAAAGAAGGAAGAGAGGAAGCGTAAGAAGAAAAAAGAAGGACACACAAAGGTTTTGACAGTCTGAGAAGAGTAAAAGAGGATGCCAGTGGAAACAAAATCCAGAACACAGGAAAAGAAATCCTAAACTTCTCTGAGTAAGGTGATATTTATCTGCATGCCGGCCCAGATAGATGAGCAGCTGGCCAAAATTAAGTTTAATTGCTATCCGGAGCTCTAACACGAAATGATATGTTCGCGTCAGAGAAAACGGTCTAAAAACACAGAAGACAATCCAGATTTCCTTAATGCAGATGTCATAGATCAAGGCTGGAACTAAGTCGGTTTTCTACACTGTCCAATTTTCAGCTTGTGTTATTAGCTACCTGCCATCAGTGTGCTGACACGCACCAGAGCTCTGTTCTTTCATGTCCTGACAGGAAACTAACTTGTTATCTTTTTCTCTCTGTGACACAAAGTTTTATGTGAGCGTCCGTTAATCGCAATAACAATCTGCAAATGTGCTCCTTCACACACCCATTATCTTTTGCTGGTATTCATGAAAGAAAACAATTTTAAATCCCACTACATGCAAAATATCTGTGCACACTACCACTGAGGTGGAGGACAGTATATCAGACTACATATTCTGCATTTGTGTCACACTGTTGAATGCATTTAATTTTCTTCATTAGGGAAGATTTTTGCACTGGCATTAAAAATAGAATCACTAAGATAAGTTTTAGACTTTTGAGCATAATTATTTTAGCAATGTTTTGTTTGTTTCATTAGAGATTGCAGCAGTCGTACATCTACAAATGCATTTGCAGGAATAGCGGTTTTAGAAGTAAGTGACTGACCATGCAGTTTCATAGATCTGACATAAACCAGCATATAACATTCTTTTACTTCATCAATGAGTCCTTGTCTGAGAGTAAATGGGAAAACAAAGACCTCAATTTGGGAAACTTTGGTCATTTTTTGACATTTGGTCCACAGGCTAACAGTGGTAAACGACAGAATCCTCAGTCCTCCTTACAGGAGGCTTCCACCAACAACTAAGTTTAATGTGACTTTAAATTGATCTAACATAGCCAGTAAAGTGATAGCATGTTTTATATCAATACAAACTGAGACAAGAGCAGGTATTTTAAGCATCATTGAAATCAGACTGAACACCAGAATGAAGAAGTAATGTTAAATCTCAGTAAACAAAAAGGGAAAACAACTGCAGAATGCAATCAGATCATGTGCTGATGGACTGGGTCCCATGCTACATACCATTACATTCCACTTGATATGCTGCTTAATGTTAAAAGCTTATTATAACTTGCACACATCCCCTACGTAGCTTTAAACAGAAAGTGTCTTTTGGCTGGATGGATTCAAAATATTCCCTATTCTAAGACAATATTAAACAAGACACAGTTGAAGGTGGTAAACTGACTCAAATGCGAGAAAAAAAAAGGGAAAAAAATGGAACTAACTGATTGCGGCAGCGGTCCCTGAAGGAGTTGTTTCTGGACGCGGGGGATGGGCCAGTAGACGAAGGACTGGTGGACGCTTCATCAGGATCCTCTGCCTCCAAACTGCGATTACAAGATCTGAGGAGCAGGAGGAAGAAAGTCCGGCAGACAGATAAAGAACAAAACATTAGGGAAGACTGTGCCAAACGCTTCATCGTCTTCACTTTTGAAAACATGCTTCCAAGGATGCAGTGTACCTGATAATCTGGAGGATGTTGCTGACAGTGGCTTCTTTCTCCGGGACGTGCAGTCCGTCTGGGCCAGACCGCGACATGAAGTTGTGCTGACCGCTGTAGTCGGACACAAACTGGAAAGGAGAGACAAAACAGAGATAGACAGATTAAACTAACATGATATCTGATTTCTTAATGTTTGGGTCAGTTGTATCAGATGTGTGTTTGTGCAGGCTCAGGGGTTGTTTGCTGCACCTCTATTGAGTCCTCTGTGTTATCTGGAGGCGGCTTGAGGCTGATGATGCTCGCTGTGCCATCCAACGCATCACTTAGCTCCTTTAGAAAAACCCCACAGAATGGCACCACCTATAGTGTATGACGAGAGGAAGAATAAATCCAAGTACAGCCAGCCACAGCTAGTGAGCTAAACTCTCAAACATGTTCTAAGAAAACAGAAACCCACCTTGCAGCCTGGGATATTGAGCGCTCTGGTCACAACCTTCTTATACTCGGAGGAGGATTCGTGCTGAGCCATGGCGTCCTTTAAGCTTCTCATGGTCTCGATGTCTGACTGGTCCATAAACTGCCACATCTTCAGCACCTTGCGGGACCTTAGGAACAAAAAAGAAATGTCAACGAGTGAAACAGATTTTCCTCAGCGTGCAGCTATTTCTTAACAAAACCAAAAAAACGAATAAATGACTTATATACACGTTTTCTGCACAAACAGTATGTGAGCATATTTGATTTGTCTGTGTGTTTCTTAAAACCTGAGTCCAGCCAGGAACTCCATGACACCGTTGTAGTTTCCCATGTTCCAGCAGCATTTAGCGACATGGACCAGATAGGAGAAAACCTCCCTCTTCTCCTCCATGGACCCTGCTGTCAGGACCAGCCACGTCACCCACGAACTCACCTGCATGTTCACAATTTGAAACACAATCATATTATTTATCACTATCATACTCAAACTGAGTGTTCCGAGTGCTCCTCTGCCAAGTTCATCACCCTAAAACCCAGCAGTGTAAAGACAGTTTTTCATGAAACACGTGACAAGCTGTGCCTCGTGAAAGGTTATATAAAATAAATCTGTTATATTTTCTGCATGATCTGCTTATTAAAACTCAATTTGTACCTATTTTTAATAGTCAAAATGAACATATGTTAAGAAAACTTAATCAAAAAAGGTCCTTATGTAGAATGAATTAAGTCATATGCTGTTGTACTGGCGGAATATGCTGCATGTCTGTGAACATTTCTGATTGGATCTCCATAACAGGTGGTGTGTTAAACCACAGGATGACTTATAAGTGTGTTAGTGTGTTATTACAAGGCTGTTACTAGGTGTGTAAATAAAAACCAGAGAACCGGAGACGGCATCCACAGGCATATTATGGTCAGCTGAAACGCTTTACTGTGTATGCCTAATGAATTCTGGTCTGGAGACCTGTGTCTAAAGTATGCCCAGGAGCGTGCCTGCTGACCAAACACACACACATACACACATACACACACACACACAAGAAAGAAAGAGATCAGATATCTATCAGCTGCGCTCTGTCTCTGCGCCCTGTAGCACGCGCAAAAGACGCGATGGCAGAACCAGATATGTATCAGGGTCAACTTCCCTTCACATTCTTGGCAAAACACACACACACACACAAACCCCCCAATACAGGAAAAGCCCAGATTTCAATCTGGCTGCTTCTTGCTCTTTAGTGCCTTTGTCTCTATGCATTAGAGCCTCATGAATGTATTAGCACACGTATAAAAACACACTTAAACTCCTTCACCCCCGTGCAGGTGGTAAAAACATCCCCCCCGGTCCAGAGATCTATTACTGGGTTATGTAAGGACCCGTAAAGCCCACCACAATCTGACTTCACAGGAACTAAAAAAAGCCATGAACACACACACACACACTCTCTCTCTCTCACACACACACTGAATCTAAAATATGTCACATAGTTTCACATGTCCAATTGTTTGAAGTTGTTGTTTCCATCCTGACACTGTCTGACAGAGAACTGATTAAATGTGATGTTTTTCTTTCCCATGTCACCGCTGACCTCAAGCACAAGAATCATGCATAATGGATGCAACCGAACCCCATGTGCAGAATACCAACTTTTTAACATACGCCATGCATAAAACCATGAGTACTCGCATGTTAACCCCAGAAAAACACACCATGGATGCAACTTTGTAATATAGAACGCAGTATTTAATCGTGACCCTCTGTTAGATTCGATTTCCATGTTTTCTTGTGTCTGCCTCTATTTTTACCGTCAATTAAAAGAAAATAAATTCCTCATAAACTTTAATATCATCATACATCAGTTCTCAATGGGTTTCTCTTTTGGGACATGTCCATTGAACACTTTCTGTCATATCATAACAAACTTGACATCTCGGTGTTTCTTCTTCGTCAGCAGACTCCCTGTAATTAACTTTCTTTTTTAATAAGCTGATTTTATTCCTTGGCCAGTAGTTCTTCTCTCACTTGTCACCATCGTCAGACAGATCAGATACAGAAAATCTCCCCCGGAGCTTTTGAGAATGCAGCGTGACTACAGGAGCTTGTTCTAGATCGTACTGTATATGGCTCACGGACTAAAAACCCTGCTGCCCGACAGTCTCTTATCTGTTACTCCCCTGCTCTGTGCATGTCAGGATGTGCGTGCCACGCATGCAAGTCTTCTCACAGTCAGTTCTAGCGTTATGACATAATGCGAAGCCATGTCAGCACTGGGTTTGAATTACAATCAGCATCTAAACCATTCTGGCCGTCTGCAAAGTGGCTTTCTGAACTGCCCAGATCAAGAGATCGCACTGAGTTGGCATCTCTTCTGATATTCCAGATAGCAGAAGTGTGTCCTCGGTGTTGTGTGTGACTGATAATACACAGGTTATGAGCAGATACTATATATAGAGCCAACATGTAACGGCACAGAAGAATGGCAAAGAGCAAAAACTTGAAACAAGAGGTTTGTAAAACAGACAAGAAGTATGTAAAAAGTGTCCTCCAAAAGCCTCCCTTACATGCATAGCACAGGTCTTATCAATAGCAGCTTGACAACAGTTCAAACACACACACAGACACACAAACATGCAGTCTGAACTGGAGCTGGGTACAAGATGATCCCACCTTTGATGTTTGTGTATGTGTCCATCCGTCTGTCCTTCTGTCTGCCTGTCTCCATCCCTGTGTGTGTGTGTGTGTGTGTGTGTTATTATTTGAACTATGAGGGTCAGTTTCTCCTTGATACAAGAATTACATAACCGAGGTTGACGGAGGACTATTACAAACTCAACGCATGAGCACATACTGCTCCTGTCAACGCTAAACACTTCGGACAGACACGAAGAGGCCCAAACTGCTCACCATTCCCTGCCTCCCAATTTTCTCTTCCCCGGCTATCCTTTTTCACCGCATAGTGCTTCACTCCCATACATGGCTTGAAAATGAACAGGATCGAAATGATTAGATTTTTTGATTTAGATTTACAAAGTCTTGTCTCTAAAGCTAATAAATGATCTCAGAACAGGGCTGTCCTTGCTTTATCTTGATATTACACTTCTCTTTTTTTATTTTCCTACAAAAAGAGAGAAAAAAAAAAACGTGTTTAAGGTCAAAGCCAAAGATTTTTAGTTTACTAATACAGAACACTGAAAAATAGAATATAAAAGCTGGACTGCCATTTAAAAGTAACTGATTGTCAGAATGACTGCTAGAATAGATTCATTGTTTTGTAGATGAACTAATCATTTTAGTTTGAATTATAACAGCGCTAATAGTGGTTTGTTGCATCTGTCAAATCACAAAGGCAGGAATCAGTGCCTTATATTCCCTGTGTAGCAAGAGCCTGTTAAAGAAGAATTGAAAATGTGTCCTTTTGCAAATTCTAAGGTAAATATTTGACACTGTACACCACTGCTGTGAAAAATCTCAGGAAATCTTAAGCAAACTTTGGTGTGCAGTCCAGAATGTCACGATGTGAAGCCCCTCCAAGTCTTCATCAGTGTCTTGAGGGGAGAATCACTGTTGTCATTTGACTCTTGTTTCATTGTGCCCATATATGGCTGCAGTGCACATTTGGAAAACTATTTTTCGTGTCTCTCCTCTCGCTGACTTAAATGAAAACCAGCTGATGTGAAAGGCATGCAACTTAAAGATGACATCACCATTCCCAATCAATCTCGCTCCCTCTAACACTTTCTCTTTCTCCGCACCACGGTGTTGCGATTGTTTATTCTCCGAGTCACTCACCGTGAAAGACACGAGGCTCTGGGAGCAGAACTTCAGCTAACTTTTACCATCAAAAGTGATCGTGCTTTTGTACACAGAGTGTGTGTTTCAGTCATAAGCTGATAAGTCCGGGCAAATGCAACAGCGCAAATCCAGCCTGTGGAAAACACGCTTACTGGTCTGCTTTTCCTTTTAACCTTTCACATTGATGTTAAACTGCAAGACCTGCATGCTCACTGTCTCTTAATGGAGGGTCACTGAAGGGCAGTCAGCATATTCATGTTCTATTTTTTAATCAATATTTTCTCAAGAGCTGACGAGTGTTATCTTTATAAAAAAAATCTCTTTCAGGATAGGTGTAAAAAGCTGATTGTATCAACAGTTCTCAAGCAATTGAATCACGTAGGAAGCTCTGAGGTTTTGAGATAGAAACTGACTTAAAGGTTATTGTAATCAGATCCCATGGTCACTAAATCTGAAACCAGTCTTATCGACTTCAAAAGGTCCCACGAAAAAGAGTGAAAATGTACTAGTGTAGCCTCGAACAAATCGGTGGACTCCTCACCTCGTTGAACCGAGCCACCAGGTCCTCCACAGCGTTGCTTCGCTGAGCACTCTGCGTAGGCATGGTGGGCGCCGACAGCGAGGCCTTCAGGTTGGGGTGACGTTTAGCTTGACACTCGGGACTGCCCAGGTCACGAGTGAGGAAGCAGAGGTAGTCCAAAGGGAAGACCTGCAGACAGACACACTCTTATTACATCGACTTCTTGAAGGGAATTACCGAGCACTGGCTGACATTATAGCTATGCTAGAAACAGACTCTACTTATCTTCTACTATTCCCCACATCCTTTTGCATTTAGCAAAAAAACACATCATCCAACCTACTTACTATAAAATACTACTGTATGTGAATTCCTTGCCATATATTTCTTTCTGCAAAAACTAGGTTCAAATTTGTCTTTGTTGAGGAACAACACAGACAGAACAGAGAGTTTTCTTTAACCCTAGTATGTTTGTTGTTTAAAATCTTTCCTACCTGCTGGTAAAGCTGCTGCTCTTGCTCAGTGAGGATGCAGGCGATCTCCTCGGGGAACTGGACAAGGTGGCGAAGCTCTGCCAGCTCCTTACTGATCCCACTGACACTGGGAGGAAGAGAGCTGCTGCTGGTCATGCTGTTGGCCAGCTGACGCTCTGGATGAACAGATAAAGAAAGAAGGAGCAACAAGATTATGAACTTTAAGTTGTTTGTTCGGATAATATCTACAGCCCACTAGCATTTTGGTGAAGAGTAACAACACACAGCGGTGTGAAGTTGAAGGAAAGCAGAGAGAAAAGGGTTTAAAAGGAAAGAAACTAAAGAAATCAGAGAATACTCATACCAGTAAAAAATAAAAACACGGTAGTACAGGAATGAGAGAGAGGGATTAACAGCGAGACATTATCTACTCTGATGTTTCCCTTTCACTATAAAAGTTAAAAGCCTCAGTAAACTGAGTATCTCTTTTTCGGGATTAACCTGGATGAATCCAGTCTTCTGATCCGTCAATCACGGTATGTCATGCACTCTATTCCGAAGCCCACCAAGCGAACCCCACCTCAGCTGACTGGAAGTAAACAGCACTGATCACCTGCCAGTTCCAGTGTTTGGATTTCAGTCTGGTCCATTAGTCTGTCTGTTTACACGTATACGCACGTACACACATAAGCAAACCTGTCCTCATCTCTGCTAACAAAGGACTAATGGACAATTTCTACACTTGTGCTGGAGCTGCCAGGTAGACATACAGTACATTGTCGGGATGGATGCCACATAAACAAGACTTTTTTCACCTCAGGAGTCTTTCCAGGAATCATTTGAGGGACTGTTGGAGGAGTTTCACCTGCAGTAAACTGAAGGAACTTACAGATCCCATTTGAAACATTGCACCTGCTAAAGCAGACTATAGAGGTGAGATTTGCAGCACTGGTGGAAACCAATGGCAAAATATGTATTCAAACAAAAGCAAGCAGATGCTACTAGTATTAATATGACTCAAGAGATAGAAATATGTGCATGTGAGTAAAGTGTTTGTGAAGTGCTTGCCATAGACCTCTCAGTTTAGCAGTTTGATGTGTTGAATTAATGAGTTACACAATGTTGATAGTAAAAAAGCAAGGAGATGTACACCAGGAATTACACAGACCGACTCTGGCCATTGTCAACTGTCATACACGGAAACCTGCCTACCCCCCCCTCCTCTTCCCACAACCGCACAGATACAAAACTGTGCATGCATACACAAGCAGACACACACTTAAACGGTGTCCTTGGTAACCCTTGAGATGTGCAACAGGTAGGCATGGCAACAGCAGCGACTGCTCTGCAGGAACAAAACTTGCTTATTTACACAGTTTGATTTGTGGATCCGGTCGCGCAGCTTCTGTAATGAACTCACAGTGTGGGCATATATATGTGTGTGTGTGTGTGTGTGTGTGTAAGAGACAAAGAGGAAGCCAGGATGAAAGGAGCACGCTTGGAAAACTGGAATTAAGGTCAAAGCAGGAAAAGATTGTTCAAACATGGGAGACAGTGAAAAAATTATGCGTACAAGCAAAAAAAAAAAAAAAAACGGTGGGAGGCAAAGTAGAGATGGGAGGAGGGGAGAGAGATAAGACAGAGAGGAAGGAAAGGATAACTGGAATAAGTGGAAATTTCGTAGTTTACGTTACGCAGCAGGTGTGAGATATCTATCACGGTTAGAGAGGCAGCATAAACCACTAAATCCTTTAAATGTCCTACGGAGAAACATACAAGATATAAATGATGACTCATTACACAGTCCGGGGCAGAGCACATTTTTCATAGATACTTTTCCGTTAAATGAAACAGAATAAGAACAATTTGACTCCTGGAAAAAGAGGACGTATCTGATGTAGTCAGACAACACAGAACAAAGGACATTAATAACACAGCATCTTCTCGACAGAAGTGCTGTAACAGAAACAGCTGCATCTTGGGTAAAAATTAGAAACTGAAGAGCTGTACTGATGCATATATATCATACTATACAGTCAAGATGTTAATTTCAATCAGGTTCACAACCTTTTGTCATCTGTCACCTCCTCTCTTCTAAATGCACGGTACAGTTATGCAAAAAATAACCCCTAAAATTTGTTTTTCATCCATACTTAACTGACTTTGAAGAGAAGATCAATTTGGCTGAATTGACTTAATACGTCACCTCTTTACTGTTAAACTGGTGTTAAATCATTACAATGTATTTTAGAAAACTGTCAAACTAAATTAAATATCTTACCTTATCAAGCAAATGTCAAGAAGAGTTTTTCCAGGGCTTAAAACAATCTAATCTTCCATCTTCCAAACAGTAATATCTACACATCCCTGCTGCAGAATTGTTATTACAAGCTCTCCTTGTGAAGTGGAAATTGAGACACCCTCAAATTAGTTATATGAATTTCATGACCACGCAACAGTCTCAGTCATTCATTTATTCATCCTTTAAATGGGGAAGACAAAGCTGTCAGCCAAGACACTGACAAAAAAAAAAAAGGTCTTAAGAGATTCTGTGGAATTAATGAAATGCAAATGTGCATTAATACAGAAACTCCCAACCCATGAAGCGATAACAATCGTTGTTTTGTGCCAAAGCAAATTCATTAGACTCAGTCCCTGTGCTTTATTATGTGTTAGTCGTGTTCCCCTGAAATTCTACTTGCAAAGCTTCACTCAAACTGTGCAATATCACACTCAGATAAATAAACATTAGGGACTGATTAGGGGATAGAATAAGGTTTTGGATTCCGATGTGACAAGCGTATTTATTAGAATTTGTCGTAGATTCATGTGAAAAAGGCCCCTGACCCATTTCAGAGCGTAAACACGAGTTTGACAAACACTAACGAGTGGATCTGAACATGCAGATATTGAAAGAACAGGAACCTGAACTAATCGACCGTGATGCCTCTGTGACTTTTATGCGTGGGTTTCCTGATTTATAATGCATGCAGAATGCAAGATACCCCGATATTGTGTGTTTGTATGAGTGTGTGTGTTAATGGAGCCGGTTCTAAATGCGGTGGTGGATGGAGCAGACTGGCTGGACATCCTTTTTAGCCACTTTCAAGACATTTCTGTTTTGAGACATACTGTGTGCGTGTATATGAGTCGTAGATGCATGAAAGACAGCATTACAGGTTTTTATTCAGTCAGCCAATGTCACATTAACATTAAACATGCCCTTTACTTCAGGAAAACTGTACAATACTGGACATTATAGTGGACCTACAGTTACCATAAAGTCACACTACGGATAATATCACCTCCTCCTGTATTAAATCATGTCAAAACCAGATTTTTTGTCATGTCTTTTTGTCACATTTTGCCACACCTCTGACTATAGCAGCAGCTTTATAGTTCAGTCACATTCATCAATCACCATGTGAGCCAGCACATTTTACGTTACGTGAGGACACGTGTCTAGAGGTTCACCTGATGGCAAGTCAAAGCAAATTGAGAACAGCCTGGTCCGGTCACACAGGCATCAACTGGAATCACCAATAACCGACTGATCAAGCACTGATCGGAGACTTACGATTGTAAACTCAACATTAAACAAAATCTTTTGTCGCTGCCTTAAGGACGGTTTTGTTCCTTGAGGGAATCACAGTTATTTATACCAACCAAAGGAGAGGAACCTTGAACAGCCTTCATTCTTTGGCACTCAAATGCACGCGCGCACACACACCATTCTCACGAGCACGTTTAGAAGCGATGACAACTTCCCGGCTGGAGTATGTAGGGCACTCAGACAGGTGCAGCACGAACAGCCTGAGATGAAGGACTGTTCACAAAGTAGTCATTTGAATTTATAAATATATTATTAGTGTATTTACAACATCATTTCTATCCAAAACAGCCTGAGAGCCGAGCAGTAAGGTGCAAAAAATAATTTTAAAAATCCCTTTAGTGCACCTGATAATCTTTCCTTTGGGTAGAGAGTCACCCACCTGCACAAATGTTGATTAAACTATTCCAAAATCCTATATTCTAGTAGAAAAACATCTGGTTCAACATAATCCTTACTGACACCCACACATGCGCATTAAAGTACACACAAGCACGGTCAGCTTCACCCTTATCCAAATAAAAATCAACAAGTAGCAGTAAACAGACTAACACATGCGCAGCAGAAAGCATAAACACGCAAAAGCAGACAGTGTAATGACTTAAAAACACAAAGGTCACAATGCAGCAGCAGAAGCAATAAACATTGATCTGTCTGACAATACTGACTCATCGGGGAGTTTCCCTTCGGGATCAGATATGCGCACTCCTGCACTCGAAACCAGGTGCAGACATAAATATAACATGTAGGTCCTTCTGTCCTTCGTCGTTAAAGCTGAGCACTGGGACGAAAACCACAGTAAAGATAAGAAGTTTGGACTAATCAAGCATCTTGTTATGACACCAACAATCATCCGGTCCAAATATTTATAAAGTAGTTATGTTAAACTATGCTGAGGTCCCACTCCACTTAGGCTGGCAAACACCCTTTGCAGAAAACTTCACCACATCGCTGCATAACGGCAGCGACGGTACAAATCAGGTTGAACACATGAGTGTATTCTAAGAGTTAAAACACATGCATAGCCATGTGTGACATTCGCAGCATCAGCTCAGCGGGAGGTCACCCACAGACCCTGAGCTTCTTGACTGTCGTGAGGTTCACTGCATATTTAAAAAAAAATAATAATAATTATGAAAAAAATTGTAATCGATATTTGCTACTGCCGTGCAGCTTAGTTTGGGTATCACAGTGATATGATACGTATTATGGTTTGAATTCAGGGGCTACCAACATCTTTTTATTCAGATTGCAATATATAAAGAAAGCTAAATATGAGGAGAAGAAAAAAGGAAAAAAAAAACACGGAGTCATGCTCTGAGAGGTATGTGCTTTTTTGCCAGTAAGCAATTTGCCATTCAAAACATAAAAAGCACAGATTTCGGCAGAACATAAATCACACTCATAAGGTGTATCTCGAACACAAAAGACCACAAGTCCAGCCAAGACACACACAGAACCGGTGAGCCGGCATTTGGCACTGATTGGACAGCAAAAAAGAAAAAACGGTCATGTGCACCAACTGCATATTCCACAGAACACGATTCGGCAGTTTGCAAAAGTAAT